AATCTTTCTTTGTGAGCCAATAAAATTTCCGGAAAACCTACAAATTTCCGAAGGCCTCTATAAATCAACCAATTATAAAGCAATGATTGAAGTTTGCAATTTTTCAACGGATCCCATTCAACTAATTTCACAAAAAATTCTTTCGGTTCAACCCTATTTAGAAAATAACTATATCGAACTTTCTAATCTAATAAAATCAAATCAATCTCTAATAAAATCAACACTCAAAATTTGCCATCTGAGGAGAAAAAAAGCCCTTCTAAAGATTTTATCAGAAGGAACCAGATTTGTCATTTACTAATAGATTAAAACATAGTATTAAAACCACAGATGACTCTCCAATATATACGAAATCTTATAGATACCCGTGAATGAAGAAGTCCGAAAACACGTAGATGACCTCTTAAAACAAGGTATTATCCGCTCAAGCTACTCCCCTTGGAGCAGCCCAGTTTGGATAGTTCCAAAAAAGGTCGACGCCAGTGGAAAACAAAAGTGGCGAATGGTGATCGATTACAGAAAACTGACCGAAAAAACAGTTTCTGATAAATATCCAATCCCAAATATTGCCGAGATCCTTGACAAGTTGGGCAAATGCCTATACTTCTCAACTCTCGACCTCGCCAGTGGATTCCATCAAATTGAAATGGAACCTGTAGATATCCCCAAAACAGCCTTCACCGTGGAGGGAGGTCATTACGAATATGTAAGGATGCCGTCCGGACTAAAGAATGCCCCGGCAACCTTTCAAAAGGTAATGGACAACCTGCTTAGGGACCTTATTGGAAATACCTGTCTAGTTTACCTAGACGACATAATCGTGTTCTCAACATCTTTAGAAGAACACATTGTTAAACTAGAAAATGTCTTTAAAAAAATCAAACAGTCTAACCTTAAAATACAATTGGATAAATCGTATTTTCTACAAAAAGAAATAGCATTCCTTGGTCACATAGTGACACCAGAAGGAATAAAACCAAACCCTGATAAAATTCAGGCAATTAAAATGTTCCCAATTCCCAAAACACAGAAGGAAGTAAAATCATTCATAGGTCTCGTTAGCTACTATAGGAAATTTATAAAAGATCTTGCGAGGATAACGAAACCAATGACAGCTTCTTTAAAAAAGGTGGCAAAGTTTCACACACAAATGAATTTATTAAATTTTTAACCCCATTTTAATCCACCCAGATTTTCAGAAAAAATTCATACTGACCACTGACACAAGTAATTTTGCTCTTGGTGCGGTATTATCTCAAGGTAATATCGGAAGCGATAAGCCAATCTGTTTTGCGAGCCGAACACTATCTCAAAATGAAACCAACTATTCAACAATTGAAAAAGAACTCTTAGCAATAGTATGGGCAGCCAAATATTTTCGGCCCCACCTCTACGGTAGGCTATTCACAATTGTAACCGATCATAAGCCCTTAACTTGGCTGATGAGTTTAAAAGAACCTAATTCTAAGCTCGTAAGGTGGAGACTTAAGCTCGAGGAATTCTCTTATGAAATCCATTACAAAAAGGGCAAGTGCAATACCAACGCGGACGCACTAAGTCGTATCAACCTAGAAACATACGCTCTAGCAACTTCTTCTGTCGCAGCCACAGTTGGTAGCTCTTTACACTCCGCAGAAGAAGACTTAAGTGGTGACCTACCGATATCAGAGAAATTATTAAAAGAATTTAACTTACAAATGATTTTAGAAGAAAGCAAAACATCTCAGTTAGTAAATATTGTACCACACAGAAACAAATTACGAAGAGTTATTAAAGAACCATATTTCATAGAAGACAAAATCATCGAAATTCTAAAAAAAATCTTACGTCCCAATAGATTAGCAGCAATTTACACATCAGATGTTGTTTTCAGTAAAATACAATCTGCCTACAAAAAATTATTTTCCAATACCCATCTACATATAATTACGCGGTGCACACAGATAGCAGAAGATATTTCGGACAACGACAAACAAGACGAAATAATAAGCAAGTACCACAAAGACTCTAATCATAGGGGAATCAGGGAAACTTACGAACACCTTAACAGATCTTACTATTTTCCGCAACTACGGGATAAAATATCTAAATTTATTAATAGCTGCACCACCTGCCAAGTCTTTAAATACGATAGAAACCCACCGGCCATAATCTATAGCAAGCCTGAAAACCCCGACAAACCCCTCGAAATAATACATATTGACATATATTGGGTTAACCACAAACAAATTCTAACTATAATCGACAAATTTTCCCGTTTCGCTAGTGCTCATACACTGGAAGCACGAAGCAGCATACACATAATCAGAGCATAAAAGACCTTCTTTAGCACTCACGGTATCCCCAAGAAAATAGTTTGTGATCAAGGAACAGAATTTTCATCAATGATTTTCAAAGACTTCTGTGACCAATATAACATAAACCTTCATACCACATCCTTCCAACAGTCTAGTAGTAACTCACCGGTAGATAGACTTCACTCAACACTTACAGAAATATACAGGATCATTTTAGGTGAAAGAAAGGCAAATAAAATGTCAGTAGATCACGACGAACTTCTGTGTGAAACCCTCATTACTTACAATAACTCAATTCACTCTGCCACCAATCTAACCGCTTTTGAACTTTTCTCGGGCAGAACTCCAGAATTTGACCACTCCGAAAAATATAATAATGTCCATGAGTATTTGAAAAAACTTAACGAATATAAACATAATTTATTCCCAAAAGTAAAAGATTAAATCGAAAAAATTCTTAACCACAGGATAGGCAACCTCAATAAATAAAGGCAGGAACCAGAAACCCTTTCCCCCGGAGATATTGTATTTAGAAAAGAAAACAGACGAACTAACACCGAGTTTGTGCGTTTTCTTAAAAAATGCCAACGAAAAATATCACCAAAAACAAAAATAATATAATACAGAAAACGAAGTGAGAAAAGCTGTGATTCAGACTCAAAAAAAAAAGGGAAAAATAAGAAGGGAGAAAAGATTTATCCGAAAAAAATTTGTGCAACAAAAAAAAAACACGGAAACAATACATCAACACGAAGGAAATCATCCAGGAAATCAGAAAGGAAAGGAAAAACTATGTACCTCCTCCTACTCTGGGCAACTTGAGTAATGCATACATACATACATACACACAGATATACAAATTTTAACACTGATCGGCTAGGAAAATAATACAATTAAGTACACTAATAGAAAAATATTTTATTATCAAAGAGATTTTAATAAAATCAAAATAACATTTTTTTTTCATAAAATCCTATGTCCAAACTAGATTCCTACCTTATAGAAAAGGAACAGACAGGCAAGCTAATATAAAAAAACATAACGAGGAAGAATTAACAATGGCAAACCCAAACTTAAATATACCCCCAGGACCCCAACAATCAGCTGGGAGTTCGCTTAACTTAAACACCCCTTTACCACCCTTGATAAACTTGTTCAACCAAATGAGAATCCCGGAACCAATTACACAATTGCAGACATTCCCGGGGGGCGCAGATATACTTCCCCATTTTATAGCCGATGTGGAAGATGTACTTCTTCTTTTGCGAGGGACTGATCAGACTCCTATGGGCAGCATCTACCTCAAAGCCATTAGAAATAAAATGTACGACACCCCATTAATTTGGGATGAAATAAAAAAAAAACTTAACACAGTACTACTGCAACTCGCTATCAGAATCAACTCTTATATCCACATTAGGGAATTTAAGACAAGGTAGGCTAACGTTTAGGGAATTTCATAAGCAAATTATGGAATTACAATCAAAACTGCATGGATATCTCGCCTTAAAAGAAACTGACCCTAGTGCAACACTATACAAGAGGAGTTTTTTTTAGTTAACTATGTCTGGACAAATTCTTAACAGGACTTAACGATCCCATAGGATCAATTGTAAGGGCTATGAAGCCCCAGAACTTGGGCGAAGCCTTCATGGCTTGCAATAGAGAACATGAGATTAGGACAAAAAACGGGGAAGATAGGTGGCACAACCAAGATAGACAAAGGTGGAACTCACCTAACTTACGATCTAGCACTACTAATGGTCACCAGAATAATCATACACAAAGATACAACCCTTTTAATAATCGATACCGTAGTAACCGCTTTGAAAATAATAACCAATACAGTAGAAATTTATCGTAAAACAACCCAAAATAACCATATAGCAGCAGAAATAAAATCAAGCCCGAGCTCCAGGGCCTTAAAACCCTACAGAGCCTATTTTTGGATACAGAGCTCACTATTAAATGTCCTCCTATAACAGTTTCGGGATTATTTAACAAAACCGAAAAAATAAACACTTAAGTCAGATTCGCCTGGTACGGAGAATTTAGAGTTAAAGGTAATTTCGAATTTCTAGCTTTTGAATTTCATAACTACTTCGATGGACTTATAGGAATGGACCTACTTAAACAACTAGGTGCCAAAATCAACCTTTCAAATTTTACTCTGACTACTCCAACGGCAACTCTCCCAATTCTCACTAGAATAGATAACACCGTCTCAGTTAACGTAATCGAAGGGTTATCAAAGAAAATAATAACAATACCGGTAGACCTGGAAAATGGAAACTTTCTTTGTGAGCCAATAAAAATTCCGGAAAACATACAAATTTCCGAAGGCCTCTATAAATCAACCAATTGTAAAGCAATGATTGAAGTTTGCAATTTTTCAACGGATCCCATTCAACTAATTTCACAAAAAATTTTTTACGGTTCAACCCTATTTAGAAAGTAAATTTATCGAACTTTCCAATCTCCAATTAAATGAAAACCATTCCACGTCAAAAATGACGTCTCTAATAAAATCAACACTCAAAATCTGCCTCTGAGTAGAAAGAAGCCCTTCTAAAGATTTGTAAAAATATAAACTCCATTTTTTATCAGAAGGAACAAGATTTGTCATTTACTAATAGAGTAAAACATAGTATTAAAACCACAGATGATTTTCAAATATATACGAAATCTTATAGATACCCGTGAATGAAGAAGTCCGAAAACACGTAGATGACCTCTTAAAACAGGGTATTATCCGCTCAAGCTACTCCCCTTGGAGCAGCCCAGTTTGGATAGTTCCAAAAAAGGTCGACGCCAGTGGAAAACAAAAGTGGCGAATGGCGATCGATTACAGAAAACTGAACGAAAAAACAGTTTCTGATAAATATCCAATCCCAAATATTGCCGAGATCCTTGACAAGTTGGGCAAATGCCTATACTTCTCAACTCTCGACCTCGCCAGTGGATTCCATCAAATTGAAATGGAACCTGTAGATATCCCCAAAACAGCCTTCACCGTGGAGGGAGGTCATTACGAATATGTAAGGATGCCGTCCGGACTAAAGAATGCCCCGGCAACCTTTCAAAGGGTAAAGGACAACCTGCTTAGGGACCTTATTGGAAATACCTGTCTAGTTTACCTAGACGACATAATCGTGTTCTCAACATCTTTAGAAGAACACATTGTTAAACTAGAAAATGTCTTTAAAAAAATCGAACAGTCTAACCTTAAAATACAATTGGATAAATCGTATTTTCTACAAAAAGAAATAGTATTCCTTGGTCACATAGTGACACCAGAAGGAATAAAACCAAACCCTGATAAAATTCAGGCAATTAAAATGTTCCCAATTCCCAAAACACAGAAGGAAGTAAAATCATTCATAGGTCTCGTTAGCTACTATAGGAAATTTATAAAAGATCTTGCGAGGATAACTAAACCAATGACAGCTTCTTTAAAAAAAAGGTGGCAAAGTTTCACACAAAAATGAATTTATTAAATTTTTGACCCCATTTTAATCCACCCAGATTTTCAGAAAAAATTCATACTGACCACTGACACAAGTAATTTTGCTCTTGGTGCGGTATTATCTCAAGGTAATATCGGAAGCGATAAGCCAATCTGTTTTGCGAGCCGAACACTATCTCAAAGTGAAACCAACTATTCAAAAATTGAAAAAGAACTCTTAGCAATAGTATGGGCAGCCAAAAATTTTCGGCCCCACCTCTACGGTAGGCTATTCACAATTGTAACCGATCATAAGCCCTTAACTTGGCTGATGAGTTTAAAAGAACCTAATTCTAAGCTCGTAAGGTGGAGACTTAAGCTCGAGGATTTCTTTTATGAAATCCATTACAAAAAGGGCAAGTGCAATACCAACGCGGACGCACTAAGTCGTATCAACCTAGAAACATACGCTCTAGCAACTTCTTCTGTCGCAGCCACAGATGGTAGCTCTTTACACTCCGCAGAAGAAGACTTAAGTGGTGACCTACCGATATCAGAGAAATTATTAAAAGAATTTAACTTACAAATGATTTTAGAAGAAAGCAAAACATCTCAGTTAGTAAATATTGTACCACACAGAAACAAATTACGAAGAGTTATTAAAGAACCATTTTTCACAGAAGACAAAATCATCGAAATTCTAAAAAAATTCTTACGTCCCAATAGATTAGCAGCAATTTACACATCAAATGTTGTTTTCAGTCAAATACAATCTGCCTACAAAAAATTATTTTCCAATACCCATCTACATATAATTACGCGGTGCACACAGATAGCAGAAGATATTTCGGACAACGACAAACAAGACGAAATAATAAGCAAGTACCACAAAGACTCTAATCATAGGGGAATCAGGGAAACTTACGAACACCTTAACAGATCTTACTATTTTCCTCAACTACGGGATAAAATATCTAAATTTATTAATAGCTGCACCACCTGCCAAGTGTTTATATACGATAGAAACCAACCGGCCATAATCTATAGCAAGCCTGAAAACCCCGACAAACCCCTCGAAATAATACATATTGACATATATTGGGTTAACCACAAACAAATTCTAACTATAATCGACAAATTTTCCCGTTTCGCTAGTGCTCATACACTGGAAGCACGAAGCAGCATACACGTAATCAGAGCACAAAAGATCTTCTTTAGCACTCACGGTATCCTCGGGCAGAACACCAGAATTTGACCACTCCGAAAAATATAATAATGTCCATGAATAAAACAAAACTTATTCCCAAAAGTAAAAGATTAAATCGAAAAAATTCTTAACCACAGGATAGGCAACCTCAATAAAGAAAGGCAGGAACCAGAAACCCTTTCCCCCGGAGATATTGTATTTAGAAAAGAAACCAGACGAAATAAACTAACACCGAGTTTGTGCGTTTTCTTAAAAAATGCCAACGAAAAATATCACCAAAAAAAAAAAATATAATACAGAAAACGAAGTGAGAAAAGCTGTGATTCAGACTCAAAAAAAAGGGAAAAATAAGAAGGGAGAAAAGATTTATCCGAAAAAAATTTGTGCAACAAAAAAAAAAAAAAGAACACGGAAACAATACATCAACACGAAGGAAATCATCCAGGAAATCAGAAAGGAAAGGAAAAACGATGTACCTCCTCCTACTCTGGGCAACGTGAGTAATGCATACATACATACAGATATACAAATTTTAACACTGATCGGCTAGGAAAATAATACAAAAAAAAAAGAAAGAAGAGATTTTAATAAAATCAAAATAAAATTTTTTTTTCATAAAATCCTATGTCCAAACTTAGATTCCTACCTTATAGAAAAGGAACAGACAGGCAAGCTAATATAAAAAAAACATAACGAGGAAGAATTAACAATGGCAAACCCAAACTTAAATATACCCCCAGGACCCCAACAATCAGCTGGGAGTTCGCTTAACTTAAACACCCCTTTCCCACCCTTGATAAACTTGTTCAACCAAATGAGAATCCCGGAACCAATTACACAATTGCAGACATTCCCGGGGGGCGCAGATATACTTGCCCATTTTATAGCCGATGTGGAAGATGTACTTCTTCTTTTGCGAGGGACTGATCAGACTCCTCTGGGCAGCATCTACCTCAAAGCCATTAGAAATAAAATGTACGACGCCCCATTAATTTGGGATGAAATAAAAAAAAAACTTAACACAGTACTACCTGCAACTCGCTATCAGAATCAACTCTTATATCCACATTAGGGAATTTAAGACAAGGTAGGCTAACGTTTAGGGAATTTCATAGGCAAATTATGGAATTACAATCAAAACTGCATGGATATCTCGCCTTAAAAGAAACTGACCCTAGTGCAACACTATACAAGAGGAGTTTTTTTTAGTTAACTATGTCTGGACAAATTCTTAACAGGACTTAACGATCCCATAGGATCAATTGTAAGGGCTATGAAGCCCCAGAACTTGGGCGAAGCCTTCATGGCTAACACACCTAACACACCTAACTTACGATCTAGCACTACTAATGGTCACCAGAATAATCATACACAAAGATACAACCCTTTTAATAATCGATACCGTAGTAACCGCTTTGAAAATAATAACTTATCGTAAAACAACCCAAAATAACCCTATAGCAGCAGAAATAAAATCAAGCCCGAGCTCCAGGGCCTTAAAACCCTACAGAGCCTATTTTTGGATACAGAGCTCACTATTAAATGTCCTCCTATAACAGTTTCGGGATTATTTAACAAAACCGAAAAAATAAACACTTAAGTCAGATTCGCCTGGTACGGAGAATTTAGAGTTAAAGGTAATTTCGAATTTCTCGCTTTTGAATTTCATAACTACTTCGATGGACTTATAGGAATGGACATACTTAAACAAACAATGCCAAAATAAACCTTTCAAATTTTACTCTGACTACTCCAACGGCAACTCTCCCAATTCTCACTAGAATAGATAACACCGTCTCAGTTAACGTAATCGAAGGGTTATCAAAGAAAATAATAACAATACCGGTAGACCTGGAAAATGGAAACTTTCTTTGTGAGCCAATAAAAATTACAGAAAACCTACAAATTTCCGAAGGCCTCTATAAATCAACCAATTGTAAAGCAATGATTGAAGTTTGCAATTTTTCAACGGATCCCATTCAACTAATTTCACAAAAAATTCTTTCGGTTCAACCCTATTTAGAAAATAACTATATCGAACTTTCTAATCTAATAAAATCAAATCAATCTCTAATAAAATCAACACTCAAAATTTGCCATCTGAGGAGAAAAAAGCCCTTCTAAAGATTTTATCAGAAGGAACCAGATTTGTCATTTACTAATAGATTAAAACATAGTATTAAAACCACAGATGACTCTCCAATATATACGAAATCTTATAGATACCCGTGAATGAAGAAGTCCGAAAACACGTAGATGACCTCTTAAAACAGGGTATTATCCGCTCAAGCTACTCCCCTTGGAGCAGCCCAGTTTGGATAGTTCCAAAAAAGGTCGACGCCAGTGGAAAACAAAAGTGGCGAATGGTGATCGATTACAGAAAACTGACCGAAAAAACAGTTTCTGATAAATATCCAATCCCAAATATTGCCGAGATCCTTGACAAGTTGGGCAAATGCCTATACTTCTCAACTCTCGACCTCGCCAGTGGATTCCATCAAATTGAAATGGAACCTGTAGATATCCCCAAAACAGCCTTCACCGTGGAGGGAGGTCATTACGAATATGTAAGGATGCCGTCCGGACTAAAGAATGCCCCGGCAACCTTTCAAAAGGTAATGGACAACCTGCTTAGGGACCTTATTGGAAATACCTGTCTAGTTTACTTAGACGACATAATCGTGTTCTCAACATCTTTAGAAGAACACATTGTTAAACTAGAAAATGTCTTTAAAAAAATCAAACAGTCTAACCTTAAAATACAATTGGATAAATCGTATTTTCTACAAAAAGAAATAGCATTCCTTGGTCACATAGTGACACCAGAAGGAATAAAACCAAACCCTGATAAAATTCAGGCAATTAAAATGTTCCCAATTCCCAAAACACAGAAGGAAGTAAAATCATTCATAGGTCTCGTTAGCTACTATAGGAAATTTATAAAAGATCTTGCGATTATAACGAAACCAATGACAGCTTCTTTAAAAAAAGGTGGCAAAGTTTCACACACAAATAAATTTATTAAATCTTTCGAAGACTGCAAACAATTACTTTGCAATGACCCCATTTTAATCCACCCAGATTTTCAGAAAAAATTCATACTGACCACTGACACAAGTAATTTTGCTCTTGGTGCGGTATTATCTCAAGGTAATATCGGAAGCGATAAGCCAATCTGTTTTGCGAGCCGAACACTATCTCAAAGTGAAACCAACTATTCAACAATTGAAAAAGAACTCTTAGCAATAGTATGGGCAGCCAAATATTTTCGGCACCACCTCTACGGTAGGCTATTCACAATTGTAACCGATCATAAGCCCTTAACTTGGCTGATGAGTTTAAAAAAACCTAATTCTAAGCTCGTAAGCTCGAGGAATTCTTATATGAAATCCACTACAAAAACGGCAAGTGCAATACCAACGCGGACGCACTAAGTCGTATCAACCTAGAAACATACGCTCTAGCAACTTCTTCTGTCGCAGCCACAGATGGTAGCTCTTTACACTCCGCAGAAGAAGACTTAAGTGGTGACCTACCGATATCAGAGAAATTATTGAAAGAATTTAACTTACAAATGATTTTAGAAGAAAGCAAAACATCTCAGTTATTAAAGAACCATTTTTCACAGAAGACAAAATCATCGAAATTCTAAAAAAATTCTTACGTCCCAATAGATTAGCAGCAATTTACACATCAGATGTTATTTTCAGTCAAATACAATCTGCCTACAAAAAATTATTTTCCAATACCCATCTACATAGAATTACGCGGTGCACACAAATAGCAGAAGATATTTCGGACAACGACAAACAAGACGAAATAATAAGCAAGTACCACAAAGACTCTAATCATAGGGGAATCAGGGAATCATACGAACACCTTAACAGATCTTACTATTTTCCTCAACTACGGGATAAAATATCTAAATTTATTAATAGCTGCACCACCTGCCAAGTGTTTAAATACGATAGAAACCCACCGGCCATAATCTATAGCAAGCCTGAAAACCCCGACAAACCCCTCGAAATAATACATATTGACATATATTGGGTTAACCACAAACAAATTCTAACTATAATCGACAAATTTTCCCGTTTCGCTAGTGCTCATACACTGGAAGCACGAAGCAGCATACACGTAATCAGAGCACAAAAGACCTTCTTTAGCACTCACGGTATCCTCAAGAAAATAGTTTGTGATCAAGGAACAGAATTTTCATCAATGATTTTCAAAGACTTCTGTGACCAATATAACATAAACCTTCATACCACATCCTTCCAACAGTCTAGTAGTAACTCACCGGTAGATAGACTTCACTCAACGCTTACAGAAATATACAGGATCATTTTAGGTGAAAGAAAGGCAAATAAAATGTCAGTAGATCACGACGAACTTCTGTGTGAAACCCTCATTACTTACAATAACTCAATTCACTCTGCCACCAATCTTACCGCTTTTGAACTTTTCTCGGGCAGAACACCAGAATTTGACCACTCTGAAAAATATAATAATGTCCATGAATATTTGAAAAAACTTAACGAATAAAAACAAAATTTATTCCCAAAAGTAAAAGATTAAATCGAAAAAAATCTTAACCACAGGATAGGCAACCTCAATAAAGAAAGGCAGGAACCAGAAACCCTTTCCCCCGGAGATATTGTATTTAGAAAAGAAAACAGACGAAATAAACTAACACCGAGTTTGTGCGTTTTCTTAAAAAATGCCAACGAAAAATAGCACCAAAAACAAAAATAATATAATACAGAAAACGAAGTGAGAAAAGCTGTGATTCAGACTCAAAAAAAAGGGAAAAATAAGAAGGGAGAAAAGATTTATCCGAAAAAAATTTGTGCAACAAAAAAAAAAAAAAGAACACGGAAACAATACATCAACACGAAGGAAATCATCCAGGAAATCAGAAAGGAAAGGAAAAACGATGTACCTCCTCCTACTCTGGGCAACGTGAGTAATGCATACATACATACAGATATACAAATTTTAACACTGATCGGCTAGGAAAATACTACAAAAGAAAAAAAAAGAAAGAAGAGATTTTAATAAAATCAAAATAAAATTTTTTTTTCATAAAATCCTATGTCCAAACTTAGATTCCTACCTTATAGAAAAGGAACAGACAGGCAAGCTAATATAAAAAAACATAACGAGGAAGAATTAACAATGGCAAACCCAAACTTAAATATACCCCCAGGACCCCAACAATCAGCTGGGAGTTCGCTTAACTTAAACACCTCTTTCCCACCCTTGATAAACTTGTTCAACCAAATGAAAATCCCGGAACCAATTACACAATTGCAGACATTCCCGGGGGGCGCAGATATACTTGACCATTTTATAGCCGATGTGGAAGATGTACTTCTTCTTTTGCGAGGGACTGATCAGACTCCTATGGGCAGCATCTACCTCAAAGCCATTAGAAATAAAATGTACGACACCCCATTAATTTGGGATGAAATAAAAAAAAAACTTAACACAGTACTACTGCAACTCGCTATCAGAATCAACTCTTATATCCACATTAGGGAATTTAAGACAAGGTAGGCTAACGTTTAGGGAATTTCATAGGAAAATTATGGAATTACAATCAAAACTGCATGGATATCTCGCCTTAAAAGAAACTGACCCTAGCGCAACACTATACAAGAGGAGTTTTTTTTAGTTAACTATGTCTGGACAAATTCTTAACAGGACTTAACGATCCCATAGGATCAATTGTAAGGGCTATGAAGCCCAAGAACTTGGGCGAAGCCTTCATGGCTTGCAATAGAGAACATGAGATTAGGACAAAAAACGGGGAAGATAGGTGGCACAACCAAGATAGACAAAGGTGGAACACACCTAACTTACGATCTAGCACTAGTAATGGTCACCAGAATAATCATACACAAAGATACAACCCTTTTAATAATCGATACCGTAGTAACCGCTTTGAAAATAATAACTTATCGTAAAACAACCCAAAATAACCCTATAGCAGCAGAAATAAAATCAAGCCCGAGCTCCAGGGCCTTAAAACCCTACAGAGCCTATTTTTGGATACAGAGCTCACTATTAAATGTCCTCCTATAACAGTTTCGGGATTATTTAACAAAACCGAAAAAATAAACACTTAAGCCAGATTCGCCTGGTACGGAGAATTTAGAGTTAAAGGTAATTGCGAATTTCTCGCTTTTGAATTTAATAAATACTTCGATGGACTTATAGGAATGGACCTACTTAAACAACTAGGTGCCAAAATCAACCTTTCAAATTTTACTCTGACTACTCCAACGGCAACTCTCCCAATTCACACTAGAATAGATAACACCGTCTCAGTTAACGTAATCGAAGGGTTATCAAAAAAAATAATAACAATACCGGTAGACCTGGAAAATGGAAACTTTCTTTGTGAGCCAATAAAAATTTCAGAAAACCTGCAAATTTCCGAAGGCCTCTATAAATCAACCAATTATAAAGCAATGATTGGAGTTTGTAATTTTTCAACGGATCCCATTCAACTAATTTCACAAAAAATTCTTTCGGTTCAACCCTATTTAGAAAATAACTTTATCGAACTTTCTAATCTCCAATTAAATGAAAACCATTCCACCTCAAAAAATGACGTCTCTAATAAAATCAACACTCAAAATCTGCCCTCTGAGGAGAAAAAAGCCCTTCTAAAGATTTTATCAGAAGGAACAAGATTTGTCATTTACTAATAGATTAAAACATAGTATTAAAACCACAGCTGACTCTCCAATATATACGAAATCTTATAGATACCCGTGAATGAAGAAGTCCGAAAACACGTAGATGACCTCTTAAAACAGGGTATTATCCGCTCAAGCTACTCCCCTTGGAGCAGCCCAGTTTGGATAGTTCCAAAAAAGGTCGACGCCAGTGGAAAACAAAAGTGGCGAATGGTGATCGATTACAGAAAACTGACCGAAAAAACAGTTTCTGATAAATATCCAATCCCAAATATTGCCGAGATCCTTGACAAGTTGGGCAAATGCCTATACTTCTCAACTCTCGACCTCGCCAGTGGATTCCATCAAATTGAAATGGAACCTGTAGATATCCCCAAAACAGCCTTCACCGTGGAGGGAGGTCATTACGAATATGTAAGGATGCCGTCCGGACTAAAGAATGCCCCGGCAACCTTTCAAAGGGTAATGGACAACCTGCTTAGGGACCTTATTGGAAATACCTGTCTAGTTTACCTAGACGACATAATCGTGTTCTCAACATCTTTAGAAGAACACATTGTTAAACTAGAAAATGTCTTTAAAAAAATCAAACAGTCTAACCTTAAAATACAATTGGATAAATCGTATTTTCTACAAAAAGAAATAGCATTCCTTGGTCACATAGTGACACCAGAAGGAATAAAACCAAACCCTGATAAAATTCAGGCAATTAAAATGTTCCCAATTCCCAAAACACAGAAGGAAGTAAAATCATTCATAGGTCTCGTTAGCTACTATAGGAAATTTATAAAAGATCTTGCGATTATAACGAAACCAATGACAGCTTCTTTAAAAAAAGGTGGCAAAGTTTCACACACAAATAAATTTATTAAATCTTTCGAAGACTGCAAACAATTACTTTGCAATGACCCCATTTTAATCCACCCAGATTTTCAGAAAAAATTCATACTGACCACTGACACAAGTAATTTTGATCTTGGTGCGGTATTATCTCAAGCTAATATTGGAAGCGATAAGCCAATCTGTTTTGCGAGCCGAACACTATCTCAAAGTGAAACCAACTATTCAACAATTGAAAAAGAACTCTTAGCAATAGTATGGGCAGCCAAAAATTTACGGCCCCACCTCTACGGTAGGCTATTCACAATTGTAACCGATCATAAGCCCTTAACTTGGCTGATGAGTTTAAAAGAACCTAATTCTAAGCTCGTAAGGTGGAGACTTAAGCTCGAGGAATTCTCTTATGAAATCCATTACAAAAAGGGCAAGTGCAATACCAACGCGGACGCACTAAGTCGTATCAACCTAGAAACATACGCTCTAGCAACTTCTTCTGTCGCAGCCACAGATGGTAGCTCTTTACACTCCGCAGAAGAAGACTTAAGTGGTGACCTACCGATATCAGAGAAATTATTAAAAGAATTTAACTTACAAATGATTTTAGAAGAAAGCAAAACATCTCAGTTAGTAAATATTGTACCACACAGAAACAAATTACGAAGAGTTATTAAAGAACCATTTTTCACAGAAGACAAAATCATCGAAATTCTAAAAAAATTCTTACGTCCCAATAGATTAGCAGCAATTTACACATCAAATGTTGTTTTCAGTCAAATACAATCTGCCTACAAAAAATTATTTTCCAATACCCATCTACATATAATTACGCGGTGCACACAGATAGCAGAAGATATTTCGGACAACGACAAACAAGACGAAATAATAAGCAAGTTCCACAAAGGCTCTAATCATAGGGGAATCAGGGAAACTTACGAACACCTTAACAGATCTTACTATTTTCCTCAACTACGGGATAAAATATCTAAATTTATTAATAGCTGCACCACCTGCCAAGTGTTTATATACGATAGAAACCAACCGGCCATAATCTATAGCAAGCCTGAAAGCCCCGACAAACCCCTCGAAATAATACATATTGACATATATTGGGTTAACCACAAACAAATTCTAACTATAATCGACAAATTTTCCCGTTTCGCTAGTGCTCATACACTGGAAGCACGAAGCAGCATACACGTAATCAGAGCACAAAAGACCTTCTTTAGCACTCACGGTATCCTCAAGAAAATAGTTTGTAATCAAGGAACAGAATTTTCATCAATGATTTTCAAAGACTTCTGTGACCAATATAACATAAACCTTCATACCACATCCTTCCAACAGTCTAGTAGTAACTCACCGGTAGATAGACTTCACTCAACACTTACAGAAATATACAGGATCATTTTAGGTGAGAGAAAGGCAAATAAAATGTCAGTAGATCACGACGAACTTCTGTGTGAAACCCTCATTACTTACAATAACTCAATTCACTCTGCCACCAATCTAACCGCTTTTGAACTTTTCTCGGGCAGAACACCAGAATTTGACCACTCCGAAAAATATAATAATGTCCATGAATAAAACAAAACTTATTCCCAAAAGTAAAAGATTAAATCGAAAAAATTCTTAACCACAGGATAGGCAACCTCAATAAAGAAAGGCAGGAACCAGAAACCCTTTCCCCCGGAGATATTGTATTTAGAAAAGAAACCAGACGAAATAAACTAACACCGAGTTTGTGCGTTTTCTTAAAAAATGCCAACGAAAAATATCACAAAAAAAAAAAAAAAATATAATACAGAAAACGAAGTGAGAAAAGCTGTGATTCAGACTCAAAAAAAAAGGGAAAAATAAGAAGGGAGAAAAGATTTATCCGAAAAAAATTTGTGCAACAAAAAAAAAAAAAGAACACGGAAACAATACATCAACACGAAGGAAATCATCCAGGAAATCAGAAAGGAAAGGAAAAACGATGTACCTCCTCCTACTCTGGGCAACGTGAGTAATGCATACATACATACAGATATACAAATTTTAACACTGATCGGCTAGGAAAATACTACAAAAAAAAAAAGAAAGAAGAGATTTTAATAAAATCAAAATAAAAATTTTTTTTCATAAAATCCTATGTCCAAACTTAGATTCCTACCTTATAGAAAAGGAACAGACAGGCAAGCTAATATAAAAAAACATAACGAGGAAGAATTAACAATGGCAAACCCAAACTTAAATATACCCCCAGGACCCCAACAATCAGCTGGGAGTTCGCTTAACTTAAACACCTCTTTCCCACCCTTGATAAACTTGTTCAACCAAATGAGAATCCCGGAACCAATTACACAATTGCAGACATTCCCGGGGGGCGCAGATATACTTGCCCATTTTATAGCCGATGTGGAAGATGTACTTCTTCTTTTGCGAGGGACTGATCAGACTCCTCTGGGCAGCATCTACCTCAAAGCCATTAGAAATAAAATGTACGACGCCCCATTAATTTGGGATGAAATAAAAAAAAAACTTAACACAGCAACTCGCTATCAGAATCAAGTCTTATATCCACATTAGGGAATTTAAGACAAGGTAGGCTAACGTTTAGGGAATTTCATAGGCAAATTATGGAATTACAATCAAAACTGCATGGATATCTCGCCTTAAAAGAAACTGACCCTAGTGCAACACTATACAAGAGGAGTTTTTTTTAGTTAACTATGTCTGGACAAATTCTTAACAGGACTTAACGATCCCATAGGATCAATTGTAAGGGCTATGAAGCCCCAGAACTTGGGCGAAGCCTTCATGGCTTGCAATAGAGAACATGAGATTAGGACAAAAAACCTATCGCACAACCAAGATAGACAAAGGTGGAACACACCTATCTTACGATCTAGCACTACTAATGGTCACCAGAATAATCATACACAAAGATACAACCCTTTTAATAATCGATACCGAAGTAACCGCTTTGAAAAAAATAGCCAATACAGTAGAAATTTATCGTAAAACAACCCAAAATAACCCTATAGCAGCAGAAATAAAATCAAGCCCGAGCTCCAGGGCCTTAAAACCCTACAGAGCCTATTTTTGGATACAGAGCTCACTATTAAATGTCCTCCTATAACAGTTTCGGGATTATTTAACAAAACCGAAAAAATAAACACTTAAGTCAGATTCGCCTGGTACGGAGAATTTAGAGTTAAAGGTAATTTCGAATTTCTCGCTTTTGAATTTCATAACTACTTCGATGGACTTATAGGAATGGACATACTTAAACAAACAATGCCAAAATAAACCTTTCAAATTTTACTCTGACTACTCCAACGGCAACTCTCCCAATTCTCACTAGAATAGATAACACCGTCTCAGTTAACGTAATCGAAGGGTTATCAAAGAAAATAATAACAATACCGATAGACCTGGAAAATGGAAACTTTCTTTGTGAGCCAATAAAAATTACAGAAAACCTACAAATTTCCGAAGGCCTCTATAAATCAACCAATTATAAAGCAATGATTGAAGTTTGCAATTTTTCAACGGATCCCATTCAACTAATTTCACAAAAAATTCTTTCGGTTCAACCCTATTTAGAAAATAACTATATCGAACTTTCTAATCTAATAAAATCAAATCAATCTCTAATAAAATCAACACTCAAAATTTGCCATCTGAGGAGAAAAAAGCCCTTCTAAAGATTTTATCAGAAGGAACAAGATTTGTCATTTACTAATAGATTAAAACATAGTATTAAAACCACAGATGACTCTCCAATATATACGAAATCTTATAGATACCCGTGAATGAAGAAGTCCGAAAACACGTAGATAACCTCTTAAAACAGGGTATTATCCGCTCAAGCTACTCCCCTTGGAGCAGCCCAGTTTGGATAGTTCCAAAAAAGGTCGACGCCAGTGGAAAACAAAAGTGGCGAATGGTGATCGATTACAGAAAACTGACCGAAAAAACAGTTTCTGGTAAATATCCAATCCCAAATATTGCCGAGATCCTTGACAAGTTGGGCAAATGCCTATTCTTCTCAACTCTCGACCTCGCCAGTGGATTCCATCAAATTGAAATGGAACCTGTAGATATCCCCAAAACAGCCTTCACCGTGGAGGGAGGTCATTACGAATATGTAAGGATGCCGTCCGGACTAAAGAATGCCCCGGCAACCTTTCAAAGGGTAATGGACAACCTGCTTAGGGACCTTATTGGAAATACCTGTCTAGTTTACCTAGACGACATAATCGTGTTCTCAACATCTTTAGAAGAACACATTGTTAAACTAGAAAATGTCTTTAAAAAAATCAAACAGTCTAACCTTAAAATACAATTGGATAAATCGTATTTTCTACAAAAAGAAATAGCATTCCTTGGTCACATAGTGACACCAGAAGGAATAAAAGCAAACCCTGATAAAATTCAGGCAATTAAAATGTTCCCAATTCCCAAAACACAGAAGGAAGTAAAATCATTCATAGGTCTCGTTAGCTACTATAGGAAATTTATAAAAGATCTTGCGATTATAACGAAACCAATGACAGCTTCTTTAAAAAAAGGTGGCAAAGTTTCACACACAAATAAATTTATTAAATCTTTCGAAGACTGCAAACAATTACTTTGCAATGACCCCATTTTAATCCACCCAGATTTTCAGAAAAAATTCATACTGACCACTGACACAAGTAATTTTGCTCTTGGTGCGGTATTATCTCAAGGTAATATCGGAAGCGATAAGCCAATCTGTTTTGCGTAAGCTCGAGGAATTCTTATATGAAATCCATTACAAAAACGGCAAGTGCAATACCAACGCGGACGCACTAAGTCGTATCAACCTAGAAACATACGCTCTAGCAACTTCTTCTGTCGCAGCCACAGATGGTAGCTCTTTTCACTCCGCAGAAGAAGACTTAAGTGGTAACCTACCGATATCAGAGAAATTATTAAAAGAATTTAACTTACAAATGATTTTAGAAGAAAGCAAAACATTTTTCACAGAAAACAAAATCATCGAAATTCTAAAAAAATTCTTACGTCCCAATAGATTAGCAGCAATTTACACATCAGATGTTATTTTCAGTCAAATACAATCTGCCTACAAAAAATTATTTTCCAATACCCATCTACATAGAATTACGCGGTGCACACAAATAGCAGAAGATATTTCGGACAACGACAAACAAGACGAAATAATAAGCAAGTACCACAAAGACTCTAATCATAGGGGAATCAGGGAATCATACGAACACCTTAACAGATCTTACTATTTTCCTCAACTACGGGATAAAATATCTAAATTTATTAATAGCTGCACCACCTGCCAAGTGTTTAAATACGATAGAAACCCACCGGCCATAATCTATAGCAAGCCTGAAAACCCCGACAAACCCCTCGAAATAATACATATTGACATATATTGGGTTAACCACAAACAAATTCTAACTATAATCGACAAATTTTCCCGTTTCGCTAGTGCTCATACACTGGAAGCACGAAGCAGCATACACGTAATCAGAGCACAAAATACCTTCTTTAGCACTCACGGTATCCTCAAGAAAATAGTTTGTGATCAAGGAACAGAATTTTCATCAATGATTTTCAAAGACTTCTGTGACCAATATAACATAAACCTTCATACCACATCCTTCCAACAGTCTAGTAGTAACTCACCGGTAGATAGACTTCACTCAACGCTTACAGAAATATACAGGATCATTTTAGGTGAAAGAAAGGCAAATAAAATGTCAGTAGATCACGACGAACTTCTGTGTGAAACCCTCATTACTTACAATAACTCAATTCACTCTGCCACCAATCTTACCGCTTTTGAACTTTTCTCGGGCAGAACACCAGAATTTGACCACTCCGAAAAATATAATAATGTCCATGAATAAAACAAAACTTATTCCCAAAAGTAAAAGATTAAATCGAAAAAATTCTTAACCACAGGATAGGCAACCTCAATAAAGAAAGCCAGAAACCCTTTCCCCCGGAGATATTGTATTTAGAAAAGAAAACAGACGAAATAAACTAACACCGAGATTTTCAACTCATGAGTTAAAAGAGGACAAAGGACTCACGTTTCTAAACAAAAAATCACAAAAAATCCATAAATCTAAAATAAAACGGAAGATTAAAACAACATAATAAAACATTTTTCTTAATTTTAGACCCTAAGTACACAAAAGTATATATATGTGCTCCTTTGAGAGACTACAGCTTTGTAAAAGCAAAAAAAAAAAATATATATAGAAACTAAATTTTTATGTGCTCCTTTGAGAGACTATTCCTTTGTGAATAAAAAATATATACATGAAGAAACTAAATTTTTATGTGCTCCTTTGTGAGACCGTTCCTTTGAGAACGAAAATATTTACGGAACATGTCATAAAAAAAAAACACATAACAAAATAACACAGAGCTCCTTGAGAGAATATCAAGTGACTCTCTATAAACAATTTTTCTTATTAAAAAAAATAAAAAGCCATTAAAACATGACCCCAAAGAAGTAACAATAATAATAAAAAAACAAAACATAACAAAATAACACAGAGCTCCTTGAGAGAATATCAAGTGACTCTCTATAATTAAACTTAAATAACTTAATTAAATAATAGTTTTACTTCTACCTACTTTTAGATTTATATCGGTATCAGCACGGCATCTGAACGTACAGGTCTTAAACGATAACCTCAGCATTGTGGAAATAAAATTAGGGGAAACTAGGATTATTAATGGACACAAAATAATACTACACATTATAAATTTAAGATCACTCTTAGAAAATTCAGACGCTTTAGATCAAACAATTAACGCAATAGCAAATGATCCCGAAACAGAACAAACTATAGATATAATTAGACTCAAATTTCAGCAGTTAAAAAAGAAAATTGATAACCTTTTACTTAACAACCGTAAAAAACGCGGATAAATTAACGGATTAGGTTCAGCAATAAAGTTCATCTCTGGCAATATGGACGCTCAAGATGCTGTAGAAATTGAAAATAGGATTAAACAAATCAAAGAAAATTCTAAAAACACAGAAATCGAATTAAACCAAACGAATTAAACACCTTCATTGAAGAAAAATTAAAAAATATTACTATTCATATAAACAAAGAAAAAGAGATAATATCGAATTATTTTAACAACGGAATCTATGGTAACAGAATTATAAAAACCGAAAACAACTTAATTAAAATTCAATATTTAAATAGACTTGGCTGTAATATCAATGTACTTTTCCAACACATTATGACAATTCAGAAAGCATCCTTTTGGCAAGAATTAACATAATTTCCAAATTTATTTTATCAAAAGAGGAACTGGAAACTATATCACATACATTTGAGAACGAAACTTTTACCATACAGTCAATAGAACACATTTATGAGTTAATTAGCCTACAAGCGTACTACAAGCACGACGAAATTGTATTTAGTATTAAAGTTCCAATTGTTTCTAAAACTAGTTATAAGTTTTCCCATTTCGTACCATTGCCGATCAGTGGAACTAAATACATAAACACGCTAGAGTATGTTGCTTACGACACGGAAATAATGTATTTTTACAAGCAAAAATGCCCAAGAGTAGAGGACATCTTTTACTGCGAAGAGACAGCGGCGAAGGAAAACTGAGAGCAATCCAACTGCATGGGAAAGATCACCAATAATCAGCAACCAACGTGCAATCTAATCGACAGAGGGCGTCTAAAATACATCAGTCAACTCAAAAATCTTCTTCTGGTATCAAACATACCAAGAACCCTCATCTCTTCCGATTGCAGAGAACCTTTCTATTTGGAAAACACAGCTATCCTACACCAAGACAACTGCAGTCACTATAAACGACATCACCTACGAAAGTAAACCTCAGCCGGTGACAGAGAAATTCAACATCAACCTGCCGGTCCGCCCACATGTTTTGCCGAACGAAACACTAAAGTTCCCTACCTTGGAGAGGCTTGACGAGGATCTGTCCATCTCCAATGCGTCAACAACTCATTTCGTGGAGTTAACCGCTTTTCACCAAACAGCAACCTACAGCATCTTGACCGCCTTAAGAATAATTATACTTATTCTATCCGCAGTTTCCTTCCGACGAAACCAAAGTATCACATTTGTTTCCACGATCCAATCGCAGCTAGCCGCTCCGATTACCGTCCCGACTCCCGCTCCGGCCTACACTCCGTTGGCATCACTCTGGCCGTCGCTCTATTCCAAGGGGGGAGGAGTTATGAATCCACCCCTGGCCGGACCCATGGTCATGGATCCGACCCTCGGTAGCTCCATTTCGTACTAAGCTTCTGGGAGCATCGACCAGCAACGCCAACACCAAAAACAAGCTGACACCGCTACAGGAGCATTGACCAGCAGCGTCAACACCAACTACTAGCTGACACCGCTACACATGCATCGGGCGGATGCTCGTGGCGGATGCAAGCCAGCCGCTGCGTCGGCAAGAATGGCAACTGGCCGATTGATTCGACAACTTTTAAATTTCCAAATAATTTTAGTTGCTCTGCTGCGACAGAGCTTAGGTTTCTTTTAAGACAATTTGAAAATAATAAATTGGTCTGAAAGTCACAACTGTCGAGTGTACGAGTTTTAAATCGAACCCTAACTTAACTCGCACTGGCGGTGGGCGCTGCCAGTCGATGGCCTGGACTGCCTCCCACATCCGGGCCTCCTCCGCTGCCTCGTCCGCCCATCCACCTCGATGGTCCGCAGCGCCTGCAAGACCTGTGCCTGTGGCAGGTGCCACTCCTGCTGCCTCGGCGGAGGCGAGGTTGAACCGATTCCCACGTTGGATGCAAAAATACTAATAACTCGAGAAGTTTGTTCTTTTTGCGCGATGTGTGGGTGTTTATTTACACTTGTAAATTGGAACTGCTAAAACATAACTTATCTAGTGCTCTCCAGAGCGAAGCTGAGACTTGGGGAGAGTTGGATGGGAAGAGCGTAAGGACAGCAGATGGAAACCTTTGGAGGAACTGTCGCTCTACACTGGCAGAAAATACAAACGCCTATTTGGCGTGAACAATTTGAATACGTCTTCTTAGTCTATCTTCTGTATTCGCTGCCTACAACCACTCGAGTTGCACAATCGAAACACGATCTGCAGCGTCGGGCTGTTACCCTCCCCTTCCCTATATTCATGAGCCGTTGGACCAGCGCGAGCCATGCAATATGCTCCCCTGTTATCGCTGCCGTTCGTTAAAGTTTAGTCATCATTCCTGTTGTACCAGCACCCCCTTTTAAATGGTTATTACCATAACATGTTTATATTAAATTTCACATCAAGAATCTATTGATTAAAACTTGGCTACTGCCATTCTAATTATACCCTTGCAGAGGGTATTATAATTTCAGTCAGAAGTTTGCAAAGCAGTGAAGGAGACGTTTCTGACCCTATAAAGTATATATATTCTTGATCAGCATCACTAGGAGAGTCGATCTAGCCATGCCCGTCTGTCCGTCCGTTTCTACGCAAACTTGTCTCTCAGTTTTAAAGCTATCTGCATAAAACTTTCCCAAAATTTGTCTTGTTATTGCAGGTAGTATATAAGTCGGAACGAGTCGGATCGGAAGACTATAGCATATAGGAACAATCTGAAAAATAAATGAAAAAAATTATAACATTGCTGTTTTTTTAATTTTTTTTTTAGGTAATGGTTTTTTATGGTAATGGTTAAATATTTCAGAATTACGGTTTAAATTTCATTAAAATCGGACGACTATAACATAAAGGTCCCAT